GCAGTGTCGTCATATCTTTGTTGTAGCTTCATAGTCTTCCCTTGCTTGTCGTCAGTTGAAAAACAAATACGCGACCTTGCTGGTTATTAATCAGTTTTCTCCTCTTTGCCGCCAGAAAAGTTGGTTCACTCTGTTGATCCAGAAAGTCAATCCTACAAATCAACAATTCGTCCTTGCATTAAATACTGCTAGCATATAAGGTCCGGTGCCCCCGTTGTTTACCTCCAGATCCTCTTAAAATCTAGAGACGGATATTCAGTGCCATAATTCCTAATCTGACATCACGTCTACAGACACGTCGAGACAGATATGTGATGTGATAGGTCCTGACCTGGCATCTCGTCTACAGTCACGTAGAGACGGATATGTGATGTGATATGTCCTGACCTGGCATCTCGTATACAGTCACGTAGAGACGAATATGTGATATGATATGTCCTGACCTGGCATCCCGTCTACAGTCACGTAGAGACGGATATGTGATGCGATAGGTCCTGACCTGGCATCTCGTCTACAGTCACGTAGAGAATGATATGTGATGTGATAGGTCTTTACCTGGCATCTCGTCTACAGTCACGTAGAGACGGATATGTGATGTGATATGTCCTGACCTGGCATCTCGTCTACAGTCACGTAGAGACGGATATGTGATGTGATAGGTCCTGATCTGGCATCTCGTCTACAGTCACGTAGAGACGGATATATGATGTGATATGTCCTGACCTGGCATCTCGTCTACAGTCACGTAGAGACGGATATGTGATGTGATAGGTCCTGACCTGGCATCTCGTCTACAGTGACGTAGAGACGGATATGTGATCTGATAGGTCCTGACATGGCATCTCGCCTGCAGTGACGTCGAGACGGATATGTGATGGGATAGGTCCTGATTTGGCATCTCGGATATGTGATGTGATAGGTCCTGATCTGGCATCTCGTCTACAGTCACGTAGAGACGGATATGTGATGGGATAGTTCCTGATCTGACATCTCGTCTACAGTGACGTAGAGACAGATATGTGATGTGATAGGTCCTGACCTGGCATCTCGTCTACAGTGACGTAGAGACGGATATGTGATGTGATAGGTCCTGATCTGGCATCTCGTCTACAGTCACGTAGAGACGGATATGTGATGTGATAGGTCCTGACCTGGCATCTCGTCTACAGTCACGTAGAGACAGATCTGTGAGGTGATAGGTCCTGACCTGGCATCTCGTCTACAATGACGTAGAGACGGATATGTGATGTGATATGTCCTGACTTGGCCTCTCGTCTACAGTGACGTCAAGACGGATATGTGATGTGATAGGTCCTGACCTGGCATCTCGTCTACAGTCACGTAGAGATGGATATGTGATGTGATATGTCCTGACCTGGCATCTCGTCTACAGTCACGTAGAGACGGATATGTGATGTGATAGGTCCTGACATGGCATCTTGTCTACAGTGACGTCGAGACGGATATGTGATGTCATATGTCCTGACCTGGCATCTCGTCTACAGTTACGTCGAGACGGATGTGTGATGTGATATGTCCTGATCTGGCATCTCGTCTACAGTGACGTAGAGACGGATATATGATGTGATAGGTCCTGACATGGCGTCTCGTCTGCAGTCACGTCGAGACGGATATGTGATGTGATATGTCCTGATCTGGCATCCCCGTCTACAGTGACGTAGAGACGGATATGTGATGTAATAGATCCTGACATGGCGTCTCGTCTGCAGTCACTCTCTCACAGACGTGCTGTGGCTTCCCCTGTCTCTTCTACAAGCATTTACATGGCAACTGCTCTGACGAACTACTTTCACTGTTTCCTAAACTGCCTGAATTTTAGCGTGCTCCTAAGTTGCCATCTCAGTCCCATCCTTTCACTGTCGAAACGGTTAAATGTAGCCGTCTCTTCTTATCTCGCTCTTCCCTTCAGTGGAACTCTCTTCCTCTTACTTGCTTCCCTGATAGCTATAATGTTCAAAAATTCAAATAAAATATCAGTCGACATCTTCTGATGCCTTGATCCTCGTTTTTCTTCTTCTTCTCCGGTCTTCTTCTCTTTTCCTCAACACCCATCTACCCGCTCATTGTCCTTATATTCTCTCCCTATGGCCTCTTCTGTATGAGTGGCACTCCCGTCTTGATTGGGGGAGGAAATGCTAAAAAAAAAGCACACTGATATCTCGCTTTAACAGACATCTAAAATGTAGCCGTCTCTTCTACTCCAACAGCTTGTTATTTCGCACTTCCCGTCAGTGGAACTCCCTTCCTCTTATTTGCTTCCCTGATAGCTATAACCTTCAAATATTCAAATGTAGTTGAATCGGCATCTTATCTAATATCTCGATCCAGATCCTCTTATTACTCTCAATCCTTTCCTAAAACATCCTCTTTACTCCCGATCTCACTTTATGTAACCCCTTTCCGTGCTAGTAGCACTCCGGCCTTGACTGGGGTGATATATTTAAAAATATATATATATATATATAATAATTCCCTCTGACAAGATGTTGAGAGCCGCTCGCTGCTCTATCGCTAATCCCTGGCCATCTGTTTTGACGAGCTACATTCCTTAGTCTCACCACCCCTGGCCTTTACAACTGGCACCCACCATCTCACGTTCACAAATGTGGATAGCGATTCGGATTGAGGAATCGGAGAGCCGAGTTCGAATTCCAATAGAATCCATTACATTCACTTACGCGCTAATACCCTTGGGGAAGGAATGAATCCTCTTATTCTCCACACAGCTATGGGTAAATAGCAGGATAGACTGGGTTCTATAGCCTTGGATGGCAACTGATCAACTGCAGAAAGAAATGGCGACATACTGACATACTGACGCATGGCACATAGCTGAATAACGGACGTGCTAATACCATTGAGAAAGGTAAGGACCCGCTTCTTCTTCCCCCAGCGATGGGTAAATAGCAGGATAGACTTGGATGTCAACTGATCAACCGCAGAAAGAAATTGCAACCTACTGACATACTGACACATGGCACATAACTGCATGGCACATAAATGACTAACGGACGTGCTAATACGCGTGAGAAAGTTATGAACCCGCTTCTTCTGCCCCCAGCTATGGGTAAATAGCAGGAGAGATAGTGTTCTATAGCCTTGAATGGCAACTGGTCTACCGTAAAAAGAAATGGAAACCTATTTCGGGAAAAACATGCCTCGTCAGTCTTGCATCGAAAGATGCATGATCGCCTATTCGTGCATCACGTATGGCACACAATTGATTGATTGACAATCATCTTCATTTCTTCCTTTTTCTAATCTCATACAACACCGCACCGTAACCCTCTGCCTTGATTGGCTCTTTGGCCTTATATTACGTAAACGTTATTATAAATGACGTCGGCTTCGCGAAGAGAATATTTGCATGGCTATAAATTCATTTACTCAGTCGTACGGCTTATCGTGTCTGAAAATTTCGAATTAAATACAAAAAAAATCTAGATGAGTTTTCACAGGTCGTAAACAGTGACCCATTTTTCTTTACCCTGAGACCTTCCTACTACGATTCCACTCTTTGCGGCTGACGTGCACACACTCCCCGCATTTAATGACGGCGCTCTCTTCGACTCTATTCTATAGTCTCTTTTCTGTCTCTCTTACAGCTCGACTTATCGCATTCAAATGTGCTAATCGTATATATAATGATTTCTCTTGGCGAATGCGCTATAAATTGAATTACAATTTCACAGGCTCTTGTAAAAATAATCACTTAAGGAATGCGATTCACCGATGAATGTATATTAGACAAAGCATGTTGCACCTCCACAAGATAGAGTTCAAAAGCGTCTACCCGTCCTTGTGTGATCAATTGTTCTCCGTCTTTCTGACAGAGCAAACCTTGCCAGCTTCTCTCCACTTTATCGCTATTTATATGAAAAATGTTCAATCGGAATGCATTGCTTAGTTCCCCCCCCAAAAAAAATTCTAGCCCTACCAGTTGAGAACCGCCAACAAGCGTATATTGAATCTAACCACCTTCGGATGACATTAGTAAGGAATAAATTCCCCTCGGATAACTTCTACCCCAAAACTGTTACTTTGTAGAAAAGAATCCCGTGAGGATGCTTTCCAAACCACTACAATCAAATACTACTTCTTCAAGTCTAGGGTTAACGGTTTATTTAGATATATTCCATCCTTGCCCACACCGCGCATAATAGGAACGGTTTCAGTAAGCCTCTAAAGTGAGTGGCCCTCATATCTGCGTGGAGCTAGTGGCTCTTTACTTTCCAGTTTTGTTAGTACAAACGAGTCTACACGGCCATGTGGGTGATGGATTTTTTCCACCTTAAAATCCCTTTCTCACAGACGAAATATTACAAGCTTCTTGTTAATCGATCGCTATTTCTATGAAAAATATTCAAAGGAGCTACATTCCTTATTTCCCCAAAATTCTCACCTGCCCAGGTAAGATCAACCTCTCTGCATATATATCGAGTTGAACCAACCTCATTACCTTCGGATACCATTAGTAAAGAATAAGTTCCTGTCTAATAGCTTCTTTCCAAAAACTGTTGCTTTTTAGAACAGAATCCAAAGAGGATACTCTATCGATCACAACAATTTTAATCCCTTCGGCTCAAGAGCTATTCAAGGTAGAGGACTGCTGAATGAAATTGTTTTAAGCTTCTACTGGTTATTTAATGCCGAAATCTAAATATTTTGTACGCAATTTTGTTTTGTAAGACTATAATTGTTTTAGTGATGCAAGTCATACTAATTAACCCATAGCTGGTGGGGACGAGTCATACGTTTCCCAAATGTATTTGGGCGTAAGTGAATATAACAAACTCAACAGAACTGGAACTCAGCTCTTCAATTAACAGTTCCGAACCATTTTCCATTACACCACCTACACATCCAAGCAGTCGCCCATCTAGATACTGATCAGGCTCGACGTTGCTTAATTTCGGTGATCGTACGAGATGCTTCAACGTAATGTGACCGAAACCCTTTACACCAGCCGCATACCCAAGCTTACAGCACCCGGTATTTTCAAGCGGTCACCCATCTAGGTACTGAGCGAGCTCGGCGTTGCTTAACTTTGGCGAGCGTACGAGAACCGGTGTTTCAACGTGAAATGGCTGAAAGCCCTTTAAACCTGCTGCACATCCGAGCTTAAAGTTCCCGGTATTTTCAAGCGGTCACCCAACTAGGTACTGACCAGGCTCGGTGTTGCTTATCTTCGGTGATCGGTGTTTCAACGTGAAATGGTAGAAAGCCTGGTTAAGAGTGCAATGGTTAGAATAGAATCATCTCAGAAGTCTCTTCGAGTGTTTAGAACGCCATACAAAAATCCTTTAAAAAATTCAAGTTTCAAACATTGAAATAATGACTATATTTGAAATTATTTTTTTGATTAGAAACAAATTTAGTGCATTAAGTCAAAACATTTTAAATTTTGGACATAGAAAAAATAAACTCATTTTCGATCTCTATGCAGGCGGTTTGCTGCCATTATAGACTCTTGATTATTCTATTGCTTGACAATCATGAAGTAGAGACTTGAAGCAAAAGAAATATGGTTCTACAGAAGCCTGCTGAGGATACCATGGAGCGATTGTGTGAGCAACGACAAAGTTTTTGATAAAATGAAAACAAAAATGAAACTTATACTTAACATCACGATGAGATAGTTGATATTTCTACGACACATAATGAGGAAAGACCGCTTGGAAAATCTGATACCCACAAGATAGATTGAAGGTAAGAGAGACAGAGGAAAACAAAGCATAATAGAGTTAGATAACTTGTGTAAATTGATGGCCGAACAGGGTGCAGGAGAAATAACAGAAAATAATTTTCTATTCTATTTAATCGGCATCATCCCATGCAAGGCTGTAAAGCCACTAAGACACAAAGGGTTGCAAGGTATGGAATAATTATGAACGTAAACATTAATATTGACCGGGAGAGGAAAGAGTAATCAGGAGGGGAGTAGATAGCGATTCACATCGATTTAAATTTTTGACGATTACAGTTGTCTGAAAAGCATGGATTTGGTTTGGTTTGGTTTGGTTTGGTTTGTTTTACGGCATATCAACCCCAAATGTGTTATATAATGAAGACAAGATTTTTATAGCTTTAACGATGGATCGTATATACGAGTTCCACTTAAGGTCTGGTTGGTTTGCTTTGGTTTGGTTTGTTTTACGGCATATCAACCTCAATGGGTTATTTAATGCCGACAAGATATTTAAAGCTTTAACGATGGATCGTATGTACGAGTTCCACTTAAGGTCTGGTTGGTTTGCTTTGGTTTGGTTTGTTTTACGGCATATCAACCTCAATGGGTTATTTAATGCTGACAAGATTTTTGTAGCTTTAACGATGGATCGTATGTACGAGTTCCACTTAAGGTCTGGTTGGTTTGGTTTGTTTTACGGTATATCAACCTCAATAGGTTATTTAATGCCGGCAAGATTTTTATAGCTTCAATGATGGATCGTATGTACGAGTTCCACTTAAGGTATGGTTGGTTTCGTTTGTTTTACGGTATATCATCCTCAATGGGTTATTTAATGCCGACAAGATTTTTATAGCTTTAATGATGGATCGTATGTACTTGTTCCACTTAAGGTCTGGTTGGTTTGCTTTGGTTTGGATTGTTTTACGGCATATCAACCTCAATGGGTTATTTAATGCCCACAAGATTTTTATAGCTTTAATGATGGATCGTATGTACGAGTTCCACTTAAGGTCTGGTAGCTTTCCTTTAGTTTGGTTTGTTTTACGGTATATCAACCTCAATGGGTTATCTAATGCCGACAACATTTTTATTGCTGGTATTATTTTGATTTATGAAAAATCTATTTCTGGTAATATTTTTCCTTCTAAAATGTATTGCTGATAATAGTCTTTTCTCTTCAAAAATTTATTGCTGGTAATAATTTTTACAAAGTATTTCTAGTATTAAAACTTATTTTTACACTTTCATAATGTTTTTACCCTAGTTTTGGGGTTAACTATTTGTCCATAGCTGGGACCATAACAGGTGCTACAACCCCCGAGTTAGGGCAGACCTGGGAACACCAGCGATTAAGGGGGTGGTTCCACGCTCCTCAAAACCTCCTGATCAAAGTCCTTGCAGCTGGACGTAGTTTATCGTCTTACCCAGGACGCGGATGCAGTTTATTGTCATACCCAGGAGGCGGATGTAGTTTATCGTCTTATCCAGGACGGCTGAAAAGCATGGACCTGAAAGGTATTTACACAAGCGAGAAAAGAAGTTATGGTTACATCTAGCCAGCTCAACTGTAACTTGATGAGATCTCGACACCAGTTTAGCTTAATTTAAAAAAAAATATGTCTGGGGTCTATAGCGAAGAGCGATATTTATTTTGTAATGGAAGACCAATATGAGGATAGGGTTAAAATAGGATGGTCTATTTCTGTCTTCTAATTAAACTTATCTAGCCACAATCACTGACCCAAACATCCTACAATATTCCTTACACCAAAACAACAACTTCTTACTTAACATACGTCCAACATAATACCTCAGAATCTCCATGAAGTCTTAACTAGTCGCCATATGTACAATAATTATCTTCAGGCTGGGGAGAACTGAAAATATCTAAGTATTTATAGAAAAGACACAGAGAGGTAACCTTACATATTACTGATTCTTCTTTGGATTTTATCAAAGGCACCGGACTATATATGACTGCAATATTCTAAGTATGTACAAAAGGGTAGTTATAAAAGGGTAGGAAGTTGTGGAGATCTGTGATCGCCTAAATTCTGGGGGACACTGCAAAAGAAGAAAAGGAGGAAGAAAAAATGACCCAATAGTAAATGTCGTAGACAATTTAACTATTTGGTATTTTAAAGTCAAAAAGGTAATATATATATATATATATATATATATATATATATATATATATATATATATATATATATATATAGCCTCGTTTACAGGGTGAATTACTGAAGACAAAAAAAAAAACAGCTGCTTATTTGCGTCTCCATTCTAACTGGGAAAAATGCTTGTTATTTTTCAGCATTATTTATTCATTTCCCTGACCCCCACAAATCGTTCAAATTCTAGCTAATTTAGAAAGGCGATATTCCGTGTGAAGGAAACTCTCCATTAACTTTCTCTCTCTCTCTCTATCCAGCATGTTGGCGATCACGGCTCTCCATATTTTCAAAGCTTTTGCGCTTTTATAATCAACTATTTATTTTTAAACAATCTTTGTCCAACTCTCAATTAGGTTTCTTACTGCTTTACTCTCAAACAACATTAAGCTAGGTCATATTTACATTATTCGGACTATTGTCCTCATCTTTCTCGCCATATTTATTACAACGTTTCGCCCCTTCAGTATCTGTCTATATTTCTGAGAATATGTATTATGTACACTATTTACATTATCCGGACTATTTTCCTCATCTTTTTCGCCATATTTATTACAACGTTTCGCCCCTTCAGTATCTGTCTATATTTCTGAGAATATGTATTATGTACACTATTTACATTATTCGGACTATTGTCCTCATCTTTCTCGCCATATTTATTACAACGTTTCGGCCGTTGTACGCTCCGGCCTTCTTCAAGTGGTTGGAAAGTCGAACTAAACCCTTTTTTTCGCTCACTGGGGTAGACTGTTCTAATTCCATGTTTAATGGATGTCAGTTATCAGTTATCTTCTGTTAATTCCCCTCTGAAAGTTCTCCACTGCCTTAAACGGGTATTGAACTCACACTTTTTGGGTCCTGTCACTGGATCTAACCAACGCCATGATTGTGCCATGTGTCCTTGAGTATGAATTTCTGGGTATTATAAACCTAATGTCTTCAGCAACCATTTTTTCCAGTGCTCATATTGCAATTTTTCTGTTATCATTTCATGATTTTTGCCAGAGCTCATATTGCAACTTTGTTGTTATTATGGATTTTCTCTGGCACTCCTTATTACTGGTTCCCATATTGTATTCATTTCTAGGCTTGTTCGGCTCAGGAGATTTTAGTGGCCTAGCATATGTGTTGATTCCTGAAGTTTAAAGATGCGGACAATAGTCCGAATAATGTAAAAAATGTACATAATAATTCATCTCCGGAAATATAGACAGATATTGAAGCAATGTCTTGTCTGGTCAGTACCTAAAAGGGTGACCGCCTGGAAATTCCAGGTGTTCTAAGGTGGTGTAAAGGATAACGGCTCGCATTTGTAAATCGGAGAGTCGGGTCCCAATTAAGTCAGTATAGTTATATTCACTTACGCGCAATAACTCTTGGGATATCTATGAATTCACCTCTTCTCCTCCATCAGTTCTGTTTTTTAACCTTTATCTTCTATATGCCTTAGGAGTGTTAAATTCCCGAACCTTTTTTTTCCTTCATGGCGGATCTCAGTAATTTAAGCAGACCTTTCCTGATGGTAAACTTTCCGACATGTTACTTTATTTCTTTACGACTTGCGCATTTGTCACATATTATGTCCATGTCATTCTTAGCATTCAACAAGACTACCTCTCTGTCGCTTCAAATCTCTTCTCGTTCCCCAAATGTTCGCTTCTCAGTATAATCCTCTTCTTCCTTTTCTATTAATGATCTGTCGAAGAGCATGCGCTGATCTCTTGTGAATATCAATTAAAATCTTACAACGGTTTATGAGTGCACCTCCCAAAATTTTTGCAAGGCTCATTCTTTCGGAAAGACAAGGAGATAACTTCTTACCGGACTATGCAAAACTGAGCAAAGAAGAAGAAGAAGAAGAAGAAGAAGAAGAAGATATTGGGATCGAACTGCCGTCTTGATGCAAATATACTCCAGGAAACGGACAAAAATAGATGAAAGTGTAAGACAAGAACATAGCTTCTCACCGGACTGAAGAAGAAGAAGAAGAAGAAGAAGAAGAAGAAGAAGAAGAAGAAGAAGAAGGAGGAAGAGGAGGAGGAGGATCTGATCATGAAGAAGAAGAAGAAGAAGAAGAAGAAGAAGAAGAAGAAGAAGAAGAGGAAGAAGAAGAAGAAGCTGGTGTACATGGATGGCAGAATGGTTTATGAGAGAGGCGGAAAAACGCAAAATTTACATATTGTTAGAAAGGACAGCAGGGTGTGAAGAGCCATGGTCATCCACTTCC